TACTACTACTACTACTACTACTACTACTACTACTACTACTACTACTACTACCTCTCTCAGCATGGGTTGCAGATTCATTGCTCCCTCTTACCTCCACAAATTGCTCAACGTCTTCTGGAGTTAGATCACCAAGTTTTCTCAGGAAAGCAGCTTTCATTTCATATACTGATGTTTTCAGTTCTCTCTCAAAGTCAGTCTCCAGGGCTTGGAATATCAGAGATCCCAATATTAGGTAGATAAAATAACTAGCCAGCAGTAGACTGATCTGGATTTTAGAGTCACCCATGGCTTTCTGCAGAGCTGATTCCAGTGGGAATTGGGGACAGAGAGACTCGAAGCTCTTTAATGTAAAACTGCTTCCTTCCCCAACCCCTTAAAAAAAACAAAACCAAACCAAAAAAAAAAAAGGCCCCAGAGGAAAGGCCTTCTTAGACACAGAGTCTAATTTTTTTTTGTTTTCAAGTATAACTTTAAACAAATATACAAAAGAGGTTACTTTCATAATATTAACGGAAAAGGAAAACTGAACTCTTCCTGACCAGGGACTTCCTTCACTCTGTGAAATATTGAATTTCTCAGTTCCCCTGGCAAGTCAGTCAGGGTTAAAGTTGGGGAGGGAACTTGGCACCAGGCCATAAACTAGTTCATATAAACTAGCTGCATAGACTTGCTAGAGGCTAGAGGACACAAATATAATGGTTGTTCTTGGGGGCACTTTCCATGTTGATTTCATAAAAGAGACAAACCTATTATTTTGTTTTTAGGCTTGAACGAGTTCATTGAGGCCAGCTAACCAGGGGCCTAATTTGTGACTCTCGCTTCTATAAAATTTTACCTTGATGGAGGGGCGGGATTTGAGAAAAGGCTTGGTGACCAGTAAGATAAAAATGGAACTATTGTCGCTGAGACTGAATTTGACAATAAAGTAGAGAGATAGCTTTTTAGCTCTACAGCTAGAAAATTCATGGGGTGGGGGTGTGCCCCAATTGCTTCTCCATTAATATGAGATTAATCTCCTTTGTATACTCATTTAAAATTAAACTTGTAAACAAGAACTTATTTAGACTGTGTCTAGAAAGGCCTCTTCTCTTGGGCCTTGTTATTTTTTAGGGGACGGGAGGAACAAGTTTACATGAAAGTGACTTCAGAGTCTCTGCCTGGTTCCCACAGTTGTGGGCTCTAAAGGAAGCCATAGGCAGTGAACACCCAGTGGCTTAAAAATCTGGGTTTTAAGTACTAATCCAAATACAGCCTCAAGGATCTGTTGAGCCAATCGAAGTCCTAAGAGGCCAGGTCAATTCTCTCTTCACCTTTTCTGCTTTGCTCTGCTATCACGAATACCCTAAAGGCTAGATCTTCTAGATCCCTGAACGCTGTGTGGAGGGTACCTACCCTACCCAGGAGTCCTGCCCTGCTGAGATCCTCTGATGCACACATGACCCTAACTAGGCCAGACTCTTCAAGTACTCCAAAACATCTCACAGTTTCACCCTAGTGCAGTTTAATATCCTGAAGGTATTCTTGATATACTGCACTGTAACCTAGTGATACACTAAATGATAATTTTAAAAAGCAACACCCTTTTTGTTTACTGTTGGAAGCTTGCCAACCCTATATATGTGATATGGTTTGATGTTGTAATATGTTAAAAACTATCTTTGAAAATGTGGAAGACTCAGATTTGGTAATTTTTGCTAAACTGCTGTTTCTTTCTTTCTTATTGATTCCTTGTTATGAGGGATAGCCAATTGGGTAAGAGAGGGGGAATATATATTATTTGGAAATAAAGTGGATTAAAAAAAGATATCAAAAATTAAATATTTAGAAAAAAATACAAGACACTAATGTAGTCTAGGATTACATTAGGTTTTTTTTTTAATCTGCCATGTTACATTGTCATTAAGTTTGCAATCTTCAGTTCTCCTTCTACCCCCATATTGTATTCGTGAAATTCTTTTCAAACCCAAGTGTAGATTTTCACATTTATTCCTATTCAGATTTAATCCTATTAAATTCAACTCAATGGTCTAGCTCATAGAGAACTTTTTGGATCTTTATTCTGTCACGTGGTATATTAACTATCTCAGCTTTGTTATATTCAAATCAGGTAAGTGTGATATTTCTACTCTAGTCTAAAATAATGGTAAAAATGTTATATCATGAAGGACTTGGGACAGATTCCTGGGATACACTCAAGACCATCCTCCAAGTTGACATTGAACAAGGAAAAACTGCTCTTTGGGGCTGGCCATTCACTCAGTTCTGAATCTGTCATTTAGCTCAAATTTCTCTAGCTTTTCCACAAGAATGGCAGGAAAGACTTTGCTGGTACTTTGTGAAAGTCTAGATAAACTCAAACTACAGGATTCCTCTACTCCAGTAATCCTTTCAGAAAAGGAGTTAAGCTTAGACTGAAATGACAGTGTTCTTGATGAAGCCTTGGTTGGCTCCTTGTAATCAGTGCTTCCTTTTCTAGATGTTCCTGAACCACCCCTTTAATATATCCTGAAATTCTTCTAGGAATTGAAGCCAAGCTCACTGGACTATAGTTCTCATATTCTGTTCTCTTACCTTTTAAAAAATCAGATCGACATTTTCCCTTCTGTCCTCTAGTGGCACCACCTCTCATCAAGGACTGCTAAGTACTTCCCTTTATCCCTATACCTTTTGGGTCTCCACCTCCCACTGGCCGTATTTCATCTGTGCTTTGCAGTCCAAAGATTATATTCTTTGACAGAAAACAAGAGTTGAGTAGTTCTGTCTTCTCTCTATCATGCATGATCAGTATCCTGATACTGGAGAGCAGTTATAACCCATCTTTGTTGACTATCATCCCTAGCCTCCACCACACACACACACATCCAACCCACCACACACACATCCAACCCACCACACACACACATACCCACTCTACCTTAAGAATCCTGTTTTATTATACTTAACATTCCTCGCCAGCCTCAGCTCATCCTAAACTTTAGCCTTGCTGACATTATTCTTATAGGATCATGGAACATGTTTGTTATTTATCCCACCTTCCCTTGCTTCCAATTTCTGAACATGCCTTGTTCAATGAGTTTCTTTTGCATCCACACTATAACCTTTAACCACCTCCCCTTTTCCACATCAATGGAATCGTGTTTTTTTTCCCCAAAAAAATATAATACAAACATTTAGTTACAAATTGAGTAATTTGCTAACTAAACTTCAATTATTACTCATCACTACTTAACCCAGTTGTGGTTTTCTTTATTTTGTTTGAAGAAGAAACATTTAAGTTTTTTACTTTGTGTGTTCCAGATGTTGAAAAAATCCCATGTCCTGGCATCTCGTAACTTTCGGGTCTTGGATTTCAACACTTCAAGGCTATATTGCTGATTTCGTCAGGAGTTTTGATATCAAAAGACCTTATAGACATCAAAAGTTTTCATGTTAATTTTATTACTTTTATTCAGTCTTTGATCTGTTCCACTTACTCCCTCCTCCAAGCAAAGGATATATCCATACCCTTTAAGGGCCTTCCTGTGTAGGGAAGTTATAATGGGAAAGAAGGCAGAATTTTCTAACCCTAAGTTGTTAGCCATTGGAGGCAGAGATTCTAACCTTAGTGAGCAGAAAATTAAAAGGTTAAAAAATAGAATTGAAGTCTTTAGGACCTATATGGCTATGCTGTGTTTTGTAAGCTTGGTTCCTGGGACAAGTAATCTCCTTTCAGAGAGAAAATACCTATTACAGCCAAGAACTAATGAAATCTCTTTATGAAGGAAAAAAAGCCAAGCGGCTTTGTGCCATAGGCTGGTTTTATCCCAACCCACGCTCTTAGATGGAGTAGATAGACTGTACTTGTCCCAGCAGGACTTGTCCCTCTGCATTTCTGGACGATGCTGCTGCCTTGTCACAGGTGATATAAAGCCACGTTCCATTTCTGCTTCAATTCTTGGCTTCTGCCTCCATCTCCTAATGGATCAGTGTGGGTGCAGGCCTCTACATCCCATCTCTTTTTGAGCAGTCACTCACAGGGAATTGGCTCTGTCCCTTGCTGTGCCTTTGACAGGAAGTTAGAGATTGTCGTGGTCTCAAGACTTCTGGAGAGTCCCCAGTGACTTCCCAGATCTCCATCCTTGGGCAATCATGCTATGGGAGCTGGCCCTCCCTCCTGCCCTTACTCTGACAGTAGTGTTGGTTTTAAGGTTCTTGGAGGGATTCAAGGTGTGCACAAACTCCCTGACCCCAATTGATCCCTCATCCCTGATCCCTACACAATGATCTAGTAGGAGCTGGCTTTGTCCCTTACTTCAGTTCTAACAGGCCAGAGTCAAGCTCCCTCAGGCATTGGGACTCATATACTGGAGACTGGGCTAGTTTAGGTATGTCCCTGCTCAGAGTGCCTCAGGCTTCTGGTTACTTTCTTATGCTGTCCTGGATTGACTGGGAAGGTTAGTGGTACATCTCTTAAGTTTTTGTGGATAGCTATTAAATCTAATGAATTTTTATATATTTGTTGGGAGTGTTTGTTGGAAGAGCTGGGCTCATCTAGGAATTTCCATATTGCCTTCCTAATCAGAGGTCGACACACTGTTTTGTCTCTTTATTTGATCTGGGTCTGAGTCTTTATCTCTTTCCCTACTCCCACAATCAAAACTCTCTCCCCACTTCTCTCAAACCAAACAACCTCTCACAAAATACTAACTCCTAGTTCACACACCTCCTTTTGGCCCTAAGGTCATTATCTAACCCCAAAAACAACCAACGCTAATCTGCCCTGAGGCTACTTCCCGTGCTCTTTACTAGACCCAGTGAATAACTGGCAGCTGTGGTACCTTGCTGTCTGTGGTGCACAGGTCTTCTTCTTTTGCTATTAATCCCTACAGCTCCATGCACCTGTGACACTCAGAGTCACCTCCACTCGCGAGATTAAATAGGCATTTAACAAATGTTTGTTGAATTCCAATTAATGAAATTTCCCAAATTCCCTCATAGACAATTTGTTTTCATCTGATGACACCCATAATAAATACCTAACAGTAGGACACTTTTAACTTTTTAGAGTATGCTAATTTAATCAATCAATAATCAATTAACCAATGTTTAAAAAGCATATTTCTCATAATAGTCCTTTCAGTAGATAGTGTCTTATTAGCATCAATTTTAAAAATTGGCCACATCCATAAAGCCTCTATGATCTAAGGACTTGGGGAGTTATTATCACAATTTTGTTAAGAGTTATATTGCTATTGCTGTTTAGCTGAATGACCTCACTCCTGCACAGATAACAGGAGACCCAGAAACACAGTGGCAAGAAATGCAAAATTGTTTTAAAATTCACATCTTTTGAAGACAGACAGTTCTGAACAAGCTTTTAAAGATC